TCAAAAAGGTTTTAAAAATTGACATAGAAATTCTAATTGCTATATTCTTTAAATTAATAATGCAGATAATTTCTTTAATTTTTTAAAACAAAACTGAGACCTTCTAGAAATGTTTAATCTTCAAAAATACTGCAAAGGGAGAACACTTTGAGAAGGTACTTTTGCTATACTATAAAATTTAAGAATAATTTACTCTAGAAAACAAGAAAGAAAAACACACAAAATTGTCATAGAAACAATGCTGACATGCTCTGTTGCATCAAAAAATTAAAGTGCTGTAATGGGGTCATAAAAGGAAATTGATCATTTAAGTTTTAGCAACTGTATGAAACAAGATAACTGCTTAATACCAACTAACATTCAAGCTAGATCTACTATAATACCAAATAATAAACAAGAGCTGTAACAGGAGACAGCCAAGCTTGACTAATAAAATACTGGATGCAGTAAGGAAGACAAAACTATGAAAGAAAAATCAATTATGTATTAATATGTATTAAGTTATAGTAAAAAAATAACATTTGTTAACATAAATTCCAAGATCAAGGGAAATAATTCTAGAAATAGTCACGCTAGAGTTATGAACCTTGTCACACAACATGTGTGTTATGATAAGAAATATATATTTGAAGTTTGAAGTAGATACCTTAAAAAGTAGAGAAGTTATAATATTTCTTAAAGAAAATCCTAAGTTCAAAGAGAGATAAATCTGTGAAAATTGCTTCTTCAAATGTTATGAACATTGTCACATAAAATGTAATTGATGATAACGAATAAGTATTTGAAGTTTGAAGTAGATACCTTTAAAACTAAAAAAGTTATAGTAAAAAATAACATTTTTCCAGTAAAAAAAATCTAAGTTTATGGGGAGATAATTCTTGCAATATTGGTGCTAGAGTTATGAACCTTGTCACATTAGATATGGATGATGATAAGGTACATATATTTGAAGTATGAAGTTGATCCCTTTAGAAATAAATAAGTTACAGTAAAAAATAATATTTTTTAAGGAAAATTATAAGTTCAAGGTGAGATAAATCTGAAATTATTTGTGCTAGAGTTACGAACCTTGTCACATAAGATGGGGATGATGATAAAGTACATATATTTGAAGTATGAGGGTGATCCCTTAAGAAATAAAGAAGTAACAGTAACAAGAGCTGTCGGTAGGACAGCAACGCTCGACTATTCTTAGTGCTTGATAGTAAAAAAGAATGCCTGATACAGTTACCTCCTCCTGTTTACAGGTTGGGGTAATGATGGTGAACAAGTGTGCAAAGTTTCAAAGCCATATGTCAATGGACTTTGAAAATATTTGAACTATTACAAAAACTTTAACGTAAATTCTAAGTCAAAAAAGGGGCATAATTCTGTCAAAATGCTTGATACAGTTACCTCCTCCTGTCTACAGGTTGGGGTCATGATGGTGAACAAGTGTGGAAAGTTTCAAAAGCATATGTCAATGGACTTTGAAAATATTTGAACTATTACAAAAACTTTAACATAAATTCTAAGTCGAAAAAGGGGCATAATTCTGTCAAAATGCTTGATACAGTTACCTCCTCCTGTTTTACAGGTTGGGGTAATGATGGTGAACAAGTGTGCAAAAGTTTCAAAGCCATATGTCAATGGACTTTGAAAATATTTGAACTATTACAAAAACTTTAACGTAAATTCTAAGTCGAAAAAGGGGCATAATTCTGTCAAAATGCTTGATACAGTTACCTCCTCCTGTTTACAGGTTGGGGGGTAATGATGGTGAACAAGTGTGCAAAGTTTCAAAAGCATATGTCAATGGACTTTTGAAAATATTTGAACTATTACAAAAACTTTAACGTAAATTCTAAGTCGAAAAAGGGGCATAATTCTGTCAAAATGCTTGATACAGTTACCTTCTCCTGTTTACAGGTTGGGGTAATGATGGTGAAACAAGTGTGCAAAGTTTCAAAAGCATATGTCAATGGACTTTGAAAATATTTGAACTATTACAAAAACTTTAACGTAAATTCTAAGTCGAAAAAGGGCATAATTCTGTCAAAATGCTTGATACAGTTACCGCCTCCTGTTTACAGGTTTGGGGTAATGATGGTGAACAAGTGTGCAAAAGTTTCAAAAAGCATATGTCAATGGACTTTGAAAATATTTGAACTATTACAAAAAACTTTAACGTAAATTCTAAGTCGAAAAAGGGGCATAATTCTGTCAAAATGCTTGATACAGTTACCTCCTCCTGTTTACAGGTTGGGTAATGATGGTGAACAAGTGTGCAAAGTTTCAAAGCCATATGTCAATGGACTTTGAAAAATATTTGAACTATTACAAAAACTTTAACGTAAATTCTAAGTCGAAAAAGGGGCATAATTCTGTCAAAATGCTTGATACAGTTACCTCCTCCTGTTTACAGGTTGGGGTAATGATGGTGAACAAGTGTGCAAAGTTTCAAAGCCATATGTCAATGGACTTTGAAAATATTTAAACTATTACAAAAACTTTAACATAAGTGGTTACGCCGACGCCGACGCCCACGCTCGGGTGACTACAATAGCTCTACTTATTCTTATCGAATAGTCGAGCTAAAAAATATTATTTTTTAAGGAAAATTCTAAGTTCAAGGGGAGATAAATCTGAAATTATTTGTGCTAGAGTTACGAACCTTGTCACATAAGATGGGGATAATGATAAAGTACATATATTTGAAGTATGAGGGTGATCCCTTAAGAAATAAAGAAGTAACAGTAAAAAATATTATTCTTTAAGGAAAATTCTAAGTTCAAGGGGAGATAAATCTTAAAAATATTGGTGCTAGAGTTATGAACCTTGTCACATAAGATGGGGATGATGATAAGGTACATTTATTTGAAGTATGAGGGTGATCCCTTAAGAAATAAAGAAGTAACAGTAAAAAATAGTATTTTTTAAGGAAAATTCTAAGTTCAAGGGGAGATTAATCTGAAAATATTCGTGCTAGAGTTCTGAACCTTGTCACATAAGATGTGGTTGATGATAAGGAACATATAGTTGAAGTTTGAAGTTGATACCTTAAGAAATGACAAAGTTATAGTGAAAAATATTTTACTGCACCAAAACTTCAATCTGAAATCTGGACGCGGACGCCGACGCCGGGACGAGTAGGACAGCTCTCCATATACTTCGTATAGTCGAGCTAAAAAATCATTAACTGTAAAATAACTGTCTGGGTTTTCTCTTTTTAAAAAAAATGGTCCTTAATATTAGTAACCTTATTGATAAAATAATACAATGCACTTAAAAACAATAGGTCTTTGAAAAGAAAAATGCATTTACCAAACTTTTATGTGCTTACTAGCTAATTTATGCCTTTGTCACTACTTTATTGCCAGACCAGCCTGTAGTCCAGCCAATATACTGCCAGTCTAGATATTGCATTAATCAGATTCTATATAAATTGCTTTGATAATGAAATTCCTTAAGTAAACATCAGTTAGTTCCAAATTCAGTTAAATGTCAATGAGCATACAACAGCTAGTCTCCATATTCACAAGACAGACCTAAAAAATAGGTAGATAGAGACTGAACTTCAAATGTCATTGTACATGCAGTTATATTAATTTATCACCACAAAATTTTGTAAATGTTCTTAGCCTTAAAACTACAGCTCTGAATTATGTAATGAAAACATTTTTGAAATTTGTAAACAACCATATTTTGCCTATAGGCAGTTTGCTTCAAACAAAAGCTAAATAGTAAGTCCTTCACCCTTAGAAGCACTAAGAATTAAAGACAGAACACTACAAATATAGCACACATAACACTACTATTGTTAGAATGAATTGGATTGAAGAGATGGTCTTTAAGCACACGAAAAACAACTTAAAAGTTTATCTACTTGCTTACACCAAAAATTTTTAACATTTGATAAAAAAGAAATCCCAAACTCATTTCCAAGTGCACAGACTTTGATATGGACTATTGAAATTTGAATAAAACCCACTCCTTTTTTTTTACATTCCCTCAAATATTACCTAGAACTGCTATAAACTCTGAAAAATGTGTTTCAAATCAAAACAAACTTTGTTCTATGACTAGCATACAAGTCCAAGGTTATAAAATTAGAGACAGAGACCAGTCAACAAAGTGGAGCCTTACCATTGGTCCATTTCAAATCTATGCATTCAATGAACCAATCATATTGCTTGATACCCAGACTGGTTTCCAATCTCAAAATTTTCTTTTCTCAAGTTTTATAACTTTGGACCTAATGTATATTAATGCACAACACCAACATGTAACATTTGTTTAATAATCTCTAGAGAACTGTGTACAATAGTTTTGGTAACTTACGGTCCATTGCTAGATGGGGATATGAAGAAAAACTTGTTAAGGTGGAAATGTAGAAATTAGTACAAACCAATGGAATCATTTTCCAGAGATAGATCCATACTGACACTTTGATAGATAAATGTAGTTTAATTTACACTTTCATGATCCCATTATTGGTTCACTTATCTTTTATGTTATTTTGGGCTACTTTACCCTATTTTACATTTGCATTAGATGGGCTTTTTATCATTTATCCTTAAAGATTGAAAAAAAAAGTTTACGCACTAGCAGAATAAATATTTATGAAGGAACCAAATTCTTTCTTTCTAAAAAGTTTGATAACTTGTTTAATTTTTGTCAAACATGAATTGCTGAATTCCATACCCTACCCCCTACTCCAATACAAAACTTTAAAGAAAACAACAAATGACTTGATCAGAATCTTTCAAAATGTTGATATGGATCTACCTTTTGCGGAAAAATTGGCCGGAAACAAAGTTTATTCTGTTATAAAGCCAATGAAACCAAATGTTATTCAGCTCCAATTGTCCAATGTTAGTATTGCAAAAAAAGTAGATTACTATAAGTCAGTTAACTATGTATTCACATGACATTCGCATAGTCACACAACATTATCAAAGGAAGCATTTCCAAAATGTATCGCAAACTCTGCTAAAAGCTTTCCACACATTACGTGAGCGGCCACTTAAAGCAATAATAAAGAATGGGGAAGGAATCTGTCAAGGCAATGATGCTTGGTAAATAGTCATTTAAAATCATACATAAATTCTACATCATACATTTTTACTTGGTAACAATGGATTTTTCCCCCTCAAATATCCTTTTGAATATATAATTATCATTTAAGCATCTCTTTTATATAGTTTTTCTTACATAATTTTCACATCAATTGGTCAAGCAAGTATTCTGTATTTAATTATTAACATACTGACAAATTAAACAGCCTTTTTTTCTCTCTCAAAAAAAATTCTAAAATATTACCCACAAATTCAAGTTTAAAATAAAAATCTGCCTTTACACCACAGGTTAACCAATTTTACTCATAGGAAAATGTAGCCAAAAATGTAAGTAGCCAACTTCAACTATTCTACAGCAGAAAGTATGAGCATAAAAAACAAGAATGAAATTTACCGATTGTTCTCTTTGGTCTTGGTCAACTGCTCCTCGTGGTGTTTATACCAGTCATCTAATTCCTTCTTTGCTATATCTCTCCATTCTTTAACACGTTTCTCTTCTTCTTCATCTACAAATAAATCAAAAAAATCTTTTGTTCCATTTTAACCAATGTAACAAAGTCTGTTGTTCAATTTGAGACCAACGTAATATATAGAACTTCGAATTATCATAAAATGTAATATAAGATCAAACTGGTTTATACAATACTGTCTCCATATACATATACCCAGTGTTTAATAATGAGAAGAAAGCTATGTTGAGTATGGTGGTCAGCTCTGAACTCGTCTATGAGTAAAGACTGAACATGGCTAAAGTAAAGCTAATATGAAACACCAAGAAAAATGATATCAGTGACACAAACCATGATGCTCAGTTGCTCAACAAAAATAGAGACAAATGGAATTTCTAAATGGCAAAATTGAAAAAGTTGCAAGCTTGGTTTGACTGAGCCTGTAAGGCAAATTTGAACAAGCAAATTCGTTGAATTTATATTCCCCGCCGAGTACTGGTTATTATTAACACAACAACTGAAGACATAAGGCTTTATTTATATATTAATCATGGCATAAACAGTAATATTCTTTGAACTTGATAAATATTCAGGGCAAAAACAGAGCCATAACTTTGTGTTAAATAGTAAAATCTGGAAATGCCAATGAGATGTATGCATACTACATAACTAATCAAGGGCCATAAATCTGAGTTATAAGTATCTGACTGGAACAAGGCGACTATATGCACATCTCCTCTTAGTATCCCATAAAGTTTCATTGAATTCCAGCCAGTAGTAGCAGAGAAGTAGCGAGGAAACAAATATTTTTCTATCTGGATACTGAATAACTAATCAAGGGCCATAACTCTGAGTTAAACTGTCTGACCGGAACAAGCTGACGATATGCACATCTCCTCTTGGTATTGATGATTCCCATAAAGTTTCATTGAATTCCAGCCAGTAGTTGCAGAGAAGTAGTGCGGAAACGATTTTTACTCTATATGCATACTACATAACTGATCAAGGGCCATAATTCTGAGTAAAAGGGTCTGACCGGAACAAGCCGAAGATATGCGCATCTCCTCTTGATATTGATGATTCCCATAAAGTTTCGTTGAATTCCAGCCAGTAGTTGCAGAGAACTACTCCGGAAACGATTTTTACTCCATATGCATATTGCATCACTAATCAAGGGCCATAACTCTAAGTTAAAGTGTCTGACCGGAACAAGCCGACGATCTGCCCATCTCCTCTTGGTATTGATGATTCCCATAAAGTTTCGTTGAATTCCAGCCAGTAGTTGCAGAGAAGTAGTGCGGAAACGATTTTTACTCTATATGCATACTACATAACTAATCAAGGGCCATAACTCAGAGTTTAAGTGTCTGACCGGAACAATCCGAGGATATGCGCATCTCCTCTTGATATTGGTGATTCCCATAAAGTTTCGTTGAATTCCAGCCAGTAGTTGCAGAGAACTACACCGGAAATGATTTTTACTCTATATGCATACTGCATAACTAATCAAGGGCCATAACTCTGAGTTAAAGGGTCGGACCGGAACAAGTCGACGATATGCGCATCTCCTCTTGATATTGATGATTCCCATAAAGTTTCGTTGAATTTCAGCCAGTAGTTGCAGAGATCTACTCCAGAAACGAAATTAGGACGGAGGGATGGAAGGACGGACAAACAACGCCAAAACTATATCCCCCTCCCGATTCCATCGGCGGGGGATAAAAAGCTGATAAGGAAGTTTTTTCATTAAAATGTATGAAAATACAAAAATACACATGGATCTTTTTTATACCTTTCTTTGCGATTCTGCGTGTGTTTTCTTCTCTCCATAGACGAATCTTCTCGGGTTCAGCCCGTTGTTTGTCTACCTGAGTTATGGCAGAGTATGCGTCATTTGCCTGCAAGAAATAGTACATGAAATTATATTATAATGAATACTTTAAGTGTCCACACAGGATGTATTCTTTTGTTTTCTTATTCACGATGTTGCCAAATGAAGAAAATTTGAGCCGTGTCATGACAAAACCAACATAATGTGTTTGCGACAAGCAAGGATCCAGACCAGCCTGGGCATCAGCGCAGTCTGATCAGGATCCATGCTGTTCGCTTACCAACTCTATTACAAGTAGAGAAACTGATAGCGAACAGCATGGATCCTGATCAGACTGCGTGGATGCGCAGGCTGGTCTAGATCCATGCTGGTCGCAAACCCATTATGTTGGTTTTGTCGTGACACGGCTCAATTTTGTTTAATGTTGTTAAATGGCCAATCAAGTACATGTTATTATAGGTACTAGAAGTTAACAGTACATGTTACATCTACTATCAAAACCACATTTTAAAAAATCACTTCATGTGGTAGTAGGTTAAAGGGACATCACTGAGTTTTTTTGTGTTTTTTTTAACATATTGAGGTTTGTATACAATTTGTATACTATTTGATGAAGAGCTGAATCAAACAATCTTATGCAAAATTCCAGAACACTTGCCATGTCATTAATCAACACACTCTGATAAAATCTGTTTCCAAAAAAATTCGAACAAACAACCCTAATAGTATGAAAACAATTTCTATCAAATAAAATTACATGTACATTGTCTTTAAGGCCTAAAAGAACAAGCAATTATCATAGTATTGCAAGCAATCCATAAGTCCCCTACCGGTAAGAGCCCAAGCAACAATCTGAAGGGCCATTGGCCATTCACTTAGGTTCCTATTTTAAGTAAATTTGTTGAAAAAGTTCTTTAAAAGTGATCACAGGAAACAGTTTTTATGTACAGACAGACGGACTGAAGGACACTCTAAAGTTATTTTTTAAACATCCCTGTTATCAAAATATAACATTTTTAAAATCCTATCATGATTGAAGAAGTTGGAGTAAAAATTACCAATTATTTCAAAAAAAAGTCTAAGTTCAAAAGGGGCATAATTCTGGAAATAGTCTTGCTAGAGTATTGAACACTCACAAATGTTGAGTGATAATAAGAAACATTTATATGAAGTTTGAAGTAGATACATTCAGAAAAAGAAGTTATTAAAAAAAACAATGTTTTTTTCATGAAAATTTTAAGTTCAAGGGAGGTAATTCTGATAAATTTTGTGCTAGAGTTGTAAACCTTGTCACATATGATGTGGTTGATGACAAGCAACTTATATCTAAAGTTTGAAGAAAATACCTTAAGAAATAAAGAACTTTTAGTGAAAAAACTTAAAAACTAGAATCAGAAATCTTGAAATTCAGTCTATTTGTTGCCATAGCAACCAGAATTTTCAACATAGGAAGATAAGAAAAGGATGTGCATAATTTCCATACTGCCATCTACCCATATGTCAAGTTTCATAAACATATTTTCAGTACTTTTTGTGTTATCACTGGCTCCAGGTTATGAATAAATTTGCCATATTTTCAGTCTATTTGTTGCCATAGCAACCAGAATTTTCAACATAGGAAGAAAAGAAAAAGACGTGCATAATCTCCATACTGCCATCTATCCATATATCAAGTTTCATAAAAATATTTTCAGTACTTTTTGCGTTATCGCGGGATCCAGGTTATGTGTAAAATTTGCCATATTTTCAGTCCATTTGTTGCCATAGCAACCAGAATTTTCAACATAGGAAGAAAAGAAAAAGACGTGCATAATCTCCATACTGCCATCTATCCATATATCAAGTTTCATTAAAATATTTTCAGTACTTTTTGCGTTATCGCGGGATCCAGTTTTGTGGACGGACGGACTGACGGACGGACGGACGGACTGACGGACGGACGGACGGACAGACGGACGGAGGGTAAACCTAAAGTCCCCTCCGGTAAACCGGTAGGGGACTAAAAACAACCTAAACACAAAAGTACTAAAATACACTCACTTTTATTACATAAGATTAACAGTGGCTACATGTATAATGAAAAACCCATGTCACTCATACATCATTTATTGAATATTTATTGTTTGAATAATAGTATTGATTTTTCTATTTCAAAACCATAAGTCATGTTTTTTACATAGCCTTCTATTTTATAATTTAATATGTTTTACATTGCCTAGTATTTCATAATTAGATAAAGTTTCCAAAAAATTACAAAATTTGCCTAAATTAACATGTTAAATACCAGAGAAAATTATGGAATGTCACCAACCATAAATTACCAACACTGTCATCCCTTTGAAAATTATTACTTTTACATATTAAAGACAGTACTGGTGGTCTCATATTTAATTCTTGACAGAGGAATCAATTTGTTTCTCCCCAAGAAGGCATAAAAATTACATTTTGCACAAAACGCAGTTCTCTTATGAGTCACAAAGTCAAAGATAATGAAAAAAAACGTAAAGGAATACATCAAGTGCTATTGCATACATTATAAATATAATTATTACAGGCAAAAGCTAAGGCACAGAGCTCTGACCAATCAATTTACTTTCTACAAGCCAGCTCAATAGTTAAATCATATTTTAAGAATTTACTGCCCTCAACCCAGGTTTAAGCATTCACAGAATTTAGGGGTAATAACTCCAGCTACTTAGCAATGGAGTTCTTGGGTTAAACATAGTTTTATTCAAGGTTAATGTTAACACATGTTAATTATTTACAATTGAAGCAGGAAGGAATTGCACCTAGAGCTACAATAACTGATTCAGCTCATAGTAAGCCTCTCCTTCCTGGACACTCTCTCCTGGAGACCTTACAGTACATATCATTATTTTAGCTTGATTGTGAGGAAAACTTGAGGGTCACCCTTAAGTTACTAGCCATGGTGTTATATGAGGAAAGAATGTTGTAATCCTATCAGGGCTCAAACCTCACCCACTAGGCCACCTGTCCTCTTCAAGTACATTTACTTTAGTGGCTGTATGGCCAAGTGGTTTACTTAAGTGACTGGTTAACACATCAGACTAGTAATGTAAAGATGACTAGCCCCGCGAGTTCAACATCAGGGGCTTGTTTCCTTAAGTAAGAAATTTTACACTCACTGCTATGGTTCTAGATAGAATCCAGTTAGTCTATAAGCTTAAATCTTGCTACACAAACTAAAATCAATTCTGTATAAACTAAGTACAAATGTACCTAAGACCATAAAATAGGAAGTTAAAAATAAAAAATCTGGTGTTCAAGGAAATGATCTAAAGGTAAATATAAACATGTGATGACAAACTAAATACCAATAGTAAAACTACAGACAATTTTTTTCTATTTCATTGTGATTATATAAAATGCAAACCAATTTTGTAAATAAAATTTGAAGGGTTAAATGGATTGTGTACAATTAAACAGAACTTAAAGTAAAATTCATTTTTCTATGGTTTGGCCATTTTGAAACATACCGGTAATTCATGTGGTGGAAATGAACTGCTTTAACAAAGGTAAAAATACTGTTCACTTATAAATATGACTGAAAAATGATTGAAGGACAATATGACTGAAGAAAAATATGACTGAAGGACAATATGACTGAAGGATAATATGACTGAAGGACAATATGACTGAAGGATAATATGACAGTAGGATGATATGACTAAAGGATGTTATGACTGTAGGACACAATGACTGAAGGACAATATGACTGTAGGATGATATGACTGAAGGACAATATGACTGAAGGATAATATGACTGAAGGACAATATGACTGAAGGATAATATGACAGTAGGATGATATGACTAAAGGATGTTATGACTGTAGGACAATATGACTGAAGGATGTCATGACTGTAGGACACAATGACTGAAGGACAATATGACTGTAGGATGATATGACTGTAGGATGATATGACCGAAGGATAATATGACTGCAGGACAATTTGACTGATAGATGATATAACTGTAGGATATGACTGTAGGATGATATAACTGTAGGACAATATGACTGAAGGACAATATGACTGAAGGATAATATGTCTGAAGGACAATATAACTGAAGGATTATATGACTGTAGGATGATATGACTAAAGGATGTTATGACTGTAGGACACAATGACTGAAGGACAATATGACTGTAGGATGATATGACTGAAGGACAATATGACTGAAGGACAATTTGACTGATAGATGATATAACTGTAGGATATGACTGTAGGATGATATGACTGCAGGACAATATCACTGAAGGACAATATGACTGAAGGATAATATGTCTGAAGGATGATATGACTGAAGGATGATATGATGGAAGGACAATTTGACTGATAGATGATATAACTGTAGGATATGACTGTAGGATGATATGACTGCAGGACAATATCACTGAAGGACAATATGACTGAAGGATAATATGTCTGAAGGATGATATGACTGAAGGATGATATGATGGAAGGACAATTTGACTGATAGATGATATAACTGTAGGATATGACTGTAGGATGATATGACTGCAGGACAATATCACTGAAGGATGATATGACTGAAGGACAACATGACTGAAGAATATGACTGTAGGACAATATGACTGAAGGATGTCATGACTGTAGGACTATATGAGTTGTCTGAAGGACAATATGACTGAAGGATGATATGACTGAAGGATGATATGACTGAAGGATTATATGATTATTTATTTTTATGACTGAAGGACGATATGACAGAAAGACAATATGATTGAAGAACAATATGACTTGAGTACAACAATATAACTGAAACAATTGTTTTAACAGACTTTTAGTAACATTATTACACCTCCTAAAAGCTGTTAGTAAAGTACTACATGTATTAAAATCTACAACTATAAGGTGAGTGGATAAATGGCTGTGAATACAATTACAAACAATGTGAGTAAATAACATAATTATGTCATATTAATTCATTATACCTTACTTCTGTCTACAATGATGTAAGCCTTTTCCCCAAGAAGCAGGCAATTTGACTATAAAAAACATGTTCAACATTTTTTGACATGTAAACAAGCACAATTGAGTTACGTTTTAAATGTCATACAAGGGCAAATAATTTGTCAAGACTTTCTTCAGCCTAACAATTCAATGATTATCTCCCTTGTATGACATGAAGAAGTGACTGTAACTTTTCAATGTGATTTAAACACTGTACAGACAATGAAAACAGTTAAAATATCATTGTTAGACAGAATTATGTTAGGTATAATCAATAAATATCAGAAATTAATATCATGATATGGCAGTGTGTTATGATATCACTATTGTCAACTCTCATAACACAATGTTACATCACAGCTTAACTGACTATGATATCATGCCCTTTGGGTTGACAATATCAATATCACACAAGCTGCCTCATGAGTTTTATCAGTGTTCCCAAAAATGGAGTAATATTCATATCTTCCCTAAAATAATCTTCAATCAATGAGGACTTCCATTATTTGAAATCTGGAAGTCTATACATTATATCATAAATCAGATACTTTTAAATATAAATTCAAGAGAGTAACATGGTATTATAATTATCTTTGGACTCAAACATGAGAGGGAACACTGATTGATATTATCATATTTATGTAAAAAACCCTCTCCATTAGTTCATAATATATGATCTTACCCCTGTATCTTGTTCATTAGTTTCACCCATGTCACCAGTAGAGTCAAACTGTTGAGGAAAATTATTAGTACACTACTGGGTTTGTTTTACTACTTGAAAACCAGTCACATTTAAGAGTCATACATACACTTTTAGTGTAAATGGGCTTTTATCAAGGTTGTCATTTAGAAGGTGCGGGGTTTTCATTATTAAAAGACTGGCAATCTCAAATCATCAGTTAAAATGCTGTTAAAATCAGTTGTATTTCATAGCTTGTAGATTAAAAATTTAAAATATCCCCATTGACCCTTGGCCAAATCAGTTGTTTTCATTGGCACATTTGCTGCTTCAGATGAAAGTAAAAACCCTGAAGTGGCAGAAGGCCAAATTCATTGTCTTAAATGCATTAATTTTTAGCCCCCAAAAAACTTAGAAAACAGTTATAAAAACAAAACATACTGCCACAATTTCAAAATAAACCCTCTCAGAAATTTGTTAAATGACAACCTTGGTTTAAATTGTACAATGGACATAAAATACTTCATGGCAAACTACAGCTTGAAAGATGCTGGCATTAATTTTGTGATAATTCTTTTCATCTTTTTTCTGGCTTTAAATATAGAAAAGTATCATGTATGCTGTGACCTTTCTTTTTAAATGACAAAATCCTACAGAATAATACTTAATTATTTCTTCCAAAAAGGTATTACAATATTTTTTAAAAGCAAGTATGGCAACACAATGTTAACTAGCAATGAAAATATTCTTAAATCAGCTTGTCAACGAAAGTCAAACAAAGAGTTAATGAATGATATGTATTATACAAAAGTTACAAGGTAGAATTAATGTGATAAAATATCTTATTTAAAATGTTAGCAGTTTATTAGTATTACATAAACAAAATTAACAAGTCAACACTGGATATATTATAATACAGATTAAAATTAATATCTTGAAACATCATACTTGTCGAAACTAATGGATACATTTATTAAAGAAATGTCATTATGAATAACATGGATTTTTCTTTTATTTTTACGCTATGTATAAATGTGTAACAAATACATAATGTATATGCTGTAATGCATTACAAACAAAATTTGTGTAATGGAATTTATTGCCCTGCTTGAAAGTTGGAAAAGTCCAGTTTTAAATTCAAAACACTATAATTGTGCCACCAACAGCATAGAGCCTGGAAAACTGTACTCTGGACGGGCTCTATACTAGTGACAAATGTTAATTACTTTCGGTTCCAGCAGGGTTGAGAGTATAATACACACCTGGGCTGTTTCACCTCCAGTAAAATCTCCCCCAGTAAAGTCATCTGTTGGCTGTGGTGAGCCTCCTGTTTGTTCTCCAGCACCTCCAAATGGATCAAAATCAGCCCCTGAAATATTTTGCCAATATTGTTTTATGTTTGTTGAGTGGCTCTATGTCAAAAAATCTAAGATTTGCATTAATTAGAATCTAAAACATTCAGTTTGACGTAAATTAATATAATAGCGAGCTCGAAGAGCTGGCATGAAGGTTGTCGCAAAGGCTTTCGGTAACATGAGTACTCTAAAAAGGGATGGTTATAAAATTTTCGCAAAATAAAAACTGACACAGGAAAAATTTTTACATTATGATAACAAAAAAACCGAAGATTCTGATTGAAATGTGTGTAGACTGGAATATAATAGGACGGGGAAACCCAAAATAACAGAAGCAGTGTATAAAAAAACCCAAAGACAGTTTAAAAAAAAAATGTAAAAAAAAATGAATGATTTTTTTATAAAATTTATTTATGAAAAATTTTTACTAAAATAAACGGGGCTCACTTTGGGTTTTCGCTTTTTCATATTAATTTTTTCCCGTTCTTCATTTTTTTTTCTGAAAATTAGGCAATGAAGAACCCTGGGGGCAAAGAAACCCCTAGATCTTCATAAATTTTAAAAGTCCCATAAACAAAAGGGGGCGTTTTAATAATCATTAAACTATAATTATAAAAAAAATTAAAATAAAAAAAGGTTAGAATAAAGAAAAGGGATTATTTTTAAAAAAAACAACGGCAAAATTATGATTTAAAAAAAAAGTTATGTTATCAAATTTAGTGGGGGTACCGGAAATTTTACAAGGAAAAGTTATAATTTTTATAATGAGACGATCGATTACCCCCAGCATTTTCTCCACAAGTTATCGTCTTCTAGGCCTTTGCTCATTTTTCTCGGGCTAAAAAGTCTGCAGCTGGATCGTCCTCTGATTGTTGAGGAGCAGGGTTCTCAAATTCGTCAAAGTCAGCCATTTTGATATTACAGGAAACGTCACACTGCCTTTTCCGTATGAGATCGGGACATTCCGTAAATGCCACACTGTCACAAGCATTTTCATTGGCTAGCTGTAAAATATTTCTATGGAACGCCGTATTAACATCGGTCTACCAAAATTCCTTCAGCCGGAACAGGCCTTCAATGAAACAAATTAATGAAATTCACAAATATGTACACACATATCAAAAACATAAATAACAACCATTCAAATTGACAGGCACATGCATACATCAGATTCATTTAAATTGTATATCAAGTAAAATAATAATCAGAGCTCAAGATAGCGTGCGTATTGATCAGCGTGAAATACGCATACATAGAAAATCTAAAATACGCATCACTTTCAAAATTCGTGCGTCAAAGTTACACCAGGGACTTTCTATTTGAAAGACCCTGGTTACACACAACAAAATGAAAATAGCTTGTATGTCATAATTTAAGCATGAAAGAGTAGCAGTGTAAACATTTGATATTTAGAAAGAGGATGTTTTGAGCATAAAAATCAGTATATTTTCATATTATTGCTTTGAAAACTAAAAATTCTGTTGTCAACATCGCATTTTAAAAACGAAAGTAGTAGGAAGTACAGAATTTAAGGGAGGTTTCTCTTGTAGATCAACCTGTGAAATTATTGATAAAATTTGTGCCAGATAATCATCGTAGGATTTAACATAGTATTAAGTTTGTTTAGGCATCTATTGACACGCTAACGCCTCAATATATATAATATATTTTAATTTCTTTCACTTTTGCTGTTGGAACAAAAACATGTTTTTTCACCTGCAGTTTTGTACTCAATATTTTCGTACCCAGTTTACAGTGACGGACAATCTTCTCTCAGACTAATACTTTTCTAAAGAAAGATAAAAAAATCTTGTTTATTTTTCTTTTATTCTAATTTCAACTATAATTTTTCAGACTGGAGTACATGATAAGGTACATGCCAACAGAAATAATGAAAGAAAATATTGACTCCTAGAATGTAAAATAATTTCAGGGCTTTCACTATTGGAAGTTTGGGAGTCATTACTCCTTCATTTCGGCCTGACAAGTGACTTCCAAAATCTGATACTTTTCCTTCTTTACCTATAAAATGTGACTTCCAATATCAGAGATTTTGAATTCTGACTTCCAAATTTTGAAAATGGAAGCCCTGATAATTTTGCTGTGTATCCTAAACTCGAGTTTCAGTATACCCTGGAAGTCTGACTTACAGAGCATGTTTGGTATTGTTTCACATTGAATCAGTATTTTATTTGTAAAAGTTTTTCTTAAAAAAATAATCAAACGAACAAAAATAATAAGTTTAATTTGTTTATAAAAAATGCAAAATGCTTTTTTGACTGATTTTACCCCTTAAGTTTTTCAGAATTTGCATTTTACCCCTCACTGCACATTTTGAGCGGTAAAAACCCCTTGCCCAAAAAAATCATCTGGAGCTCTCAATTATCAAGTAAATATTGTTTTCATATTTCTTTTAAAAGCATATAAAGACGAAGACTCGATCTTTAATATGATAAGGTAAATTATTCCATACTTGCATTGCATTATTTCTAAAAGTTCTTTTAACATATTTTGTATTAGATCTTACATGTATTATGTTTCTATTTGTAGTTGATCTAAGTGTATCCTCTATATATTCATCAGACTCTTCAAATCAAAAAAAGTTTCTTTGTTGCAGGGTCTTTCAAATATTCGATAGACCCTGTTTGTCGTAATCAATAAAAGAATTGTGCTCAATATGCACCAAGGAGGTGTGTTATTTACTTTGACTTTGGAACAGGCTATATAATTGTCCTGCATTTTTAATATGATCTGTGTTAAATTTATCAAAAATTACAAAAAAAAATCATATTTTAGGTTAACTTGTTTAAATATTGACAATTTCATAACAAGGGTATAGTCAGAGACGTTAAAATACATGTATATCATATGTCTCTGGTATAGTGGTTTACCAGAAATGTAGATATTAAATGTTATCTGGGTACCCTATTCAGTGTTTGTTTTAAATTGGCGTTCCATAATTCATTGCAGATTTTTTTCGGTACGTTACGATACCGAAATCAACTTGATTTCGGTAAAGTTACCGAAATCAACTTTTCATTACCGAAATCAACTTGTAAAATCACAATTAAGCGTTTTATTATATTTTTTTCTATTATAATCTATTACAATAGGTTTAGTTTGACTTTCATGCAAAAAATCAGTTCGAAATAATTAATAATTATGAAATTAGAAACAAATTCTAAATATCAACAATACTTCCCTGATTTGTCACGAACCGAAATATGTTACCATACAGAAATCGGCTTGTAAAAGTTAAAATAAAACATTTTAAATAGATCTTTTTTATTAATTAAATATAAAATCATTCAAACTGAACCATAAACAAAAGAAAATAAATATTTAATTATAAAAAATGATGATGTTATAGACGGATATGTATATTATATCATGATTACTTCCCTTGTTATTAATGTGTTGCATTTACCGAAATCAAATCAGATTTCATTTCAAAGATGAGGACAATCCCTAAATAATTTGCATGAATTTCAGAAGTCTATGAAAAAAATGTATTTAAGTGAGTTTTAAACTTTGAATTCATATCGCATATTTTCAATGTTTAAATTTTTTCCTTTAGTCAGATAACATAGCAGCGTATCATCTCTTTGATGTTTCTTAATGATTTTCAAAATACAAGATTTAACAAAACTGTTGTAGAAGTTATCCGCCTAATTTAGCTCACTAATTAAAATAGTTGAATATAGATGGACACTTTTAGAAAGACTTTTTTTAATAGTTTTATAGTATAAATATTTCAGATCTAGCTGGAAACATAACGATACGTATGTACAGTATAGTACATCCAAGGATCTAGTAAAGTTGGTAAAACTATAATGTTATATTAAATAAATTGTCAAAAGATCTGTTTTAATTAACATGTACATTTGTAGGGGTGGTCGCTATACGTTTCCGTAGAAAACATTTCGTGTATATGAGACAAGGTGCTTTTGATATTATTAATAACCCAAATTGCATATCAGTTGTTCCAAAAATGTATGCCATATTTTTGACGTCCCTGATACTTTATAATATAAATAATAACTACATATTCTACTTATTGAAAAAGTGTAAGTCATGATTTTATGTTGATCGATTTATAATCATTTTAAATTTCATATCTGTAAACAGCATACATTTATGGAATGAACTGATATATATGAATGATGATTTATATGATGGAATAAATGGAACACTTTATACTGGCAAATTTCAATTATGTAATGTGTGTAACTTGTACGATATGACATGTGTGTATTACTGTATTAAGTAAGGTGTGAAGTAATTAAGACAGGGGGTACAGTTGACATACCAATGTATGTTAAAGATAAAGATTATAATGAAAACCATAGGTTTATTTCGTAATAAACATTTAAAAAATATTTATATAAAGAGTCCCCCATAACATATGTTAGCGATTTGTTAATATATAGTTTAACTGTTCAATAAAAGAAAGACACAAACTTTCCAATTTCAAATTTTAACCGTCTGATACATTATAACAATGTTTATGGATTTTTTTTAGAGCAGTCGAATTATATATTGTATTCAAACTCGTAAATGGTCATGAAACAAGTACAAATTTATAATTAGATTTAACTCATATTAAAGAGTATTATATTTTTCAATCATAGTCGATCATAGCTTTTTAGAGTATGATTTGATTAGAAAATTGTTTATGTCACGATAATCACGTGCAGGTATAAAACATGCTTGTGCTAATGTCTTGTAATAAATGGTTGCTGTAAAATACATAATTTGTGTACCAAATAATCTCTAAACCTGCAATATATTTTTATTGCATAATGACTTAAAGTTAATCAACCCCTGTTCGAAAGTTCATTTCATAGGTTAGAGAAAAAATCTTACTTCGTTTTAATTAATATTGTACCGTGTAAAATGAATATATATCACTTTTTCATATTCATGTTTCCATTATTCTATTAATAATCGGTGAAAAAAATGGAAGATGTTTTCTGTTCGTTATAAATATCGACAAGGTCCTTGTACATTAATATAGGCCCGAATAACATTTATTTTATTGTTTTTCCTTGTCTATGAATGCTTTTTTTTGTTGTTTCCTTGTCTAATGAATGCTTTACACGCATCATTGTTCTTTTATACTCAAATAATGTACAATAAATTAAACATAAGTTAACATTTTAATTTACGATATCTATTCAGTTGCAACTGAACGCTCTCAATCAATGCAGTCGGGTTTTCTTTTAATTTCAAAAACATAAATTATCTTTAATAATCACTATTTATGTATTATACATGTATTTTATATACATAATTTAAACTTCACAGCTGATTTCGGTATGCTATACACATAACGGGTTTGTTTAGAACAAAGGGAAGTAACTCAATAATTACATTTTTGTTGATAACATCATTAAAATAAAATATTTTCAATAGATTTTTTAACTGAAAGTCTATTTCACTAATTTTCATCAAATAATGAAGAAATAATAGCAATATTTTAACTAGGTTGGTTTTTACGAGTTTATTTCGGTAATGAAAAGTTGATTTCGGTAACTTTACCGAAATCAAGTTGATTTCGGTATCGTAACGTACCCGATTTTTTTATGTTAACACCGTTTATGTATGAGTTAAGAGCATCCATTTCATTGGCTTAACTCTATTGCAAATGGCCGGCTTGTACACGCCGAATTGAAACTTCCAAGAATTGATATATTAGTTGATACATAGCCGAAGGAAGAATGCCTCCTCCACGGAAATCTTCACCTCGCCGCAGAGATCGAAGGTGCATAATGATTTATCACATTTGCCTCCCATAGTTTTATGTAGATTCACTGATAAATTCTGCAATCATTTCTCAATTTTTATTCATAATATGTGTGCATTTTTCTTGTTTTTATAATAAGATTTTAATTCATAACCCAAAGTTACGCACCAGATATTTTTATCAATTCGTCTGAAAGAGAAGATAGATTATCTGGATGTCACCACTGGCAACACTGTCGCGTAAAAAGTAGACTTTCAACGGTCAACTTAGTCTAAGTCCAAGAAAAACTGAATAGATTTGGCAGAAATTAGAGCCGTTGCTGTAATATTAAAGTAAGGTTATATTGAATTAAGGTTGTAATTATAGCAGAAAAACAGATTTTTTGTTCCCAACATCCTGTAAAATTTGTTTTTTTATTTCTTAATTTCATTTAAACACAAAATTGTATGATTTGTTTTCACTTTGCTAGTTGATATCCATGTCAGACGTTTCACTCCGAAGACATTTCACTATTGAGACGTTTCACTCCCAAGACGGTTCACACCTAGACGTTTCACTCCCATTTTGTCAATTGTATGGACGTTTCACTCCCATTTTTTATATGTTTTTATTAAGAAAATTAATTTCATTTTAAGGGGAAATTCAATTTATTGATTCATTTTGTTGAATTTGAGAGTATCGTTACGAAGAATTTATGACTTTGAAGAATGATTATAAAAGTATAATTTTTCTGAAATATTAGAGAAAATGTAAATAATTATGATCTATACTGTAATAAGTATAGTATCAGCTCAGAAAAGTGAATTTTGTTCCATTTAAACAGTGTTTTGAAGAATTCCTGTTAATTATTATGAGTGAAAATGTTGGTTTCAATGAGGACATAATTATGATGAATTATTAGAAGATTATCATTACACTCATTTAAATATGGTTTGAATGATAAGAGGTATGAATGAAAAACAAAGGTCTGAAATATCGTTTTTATTATAAGAGTAACAACATAATAAAAATTCTATTTATAATAAATCAAGAAAGATAATAGAATAACAAAATGAAAATGTTCATGAACAACAAAGACACCAGTTTGAATATTGAAACCACTATCAGTGCAGTAATTAAATAATATCAATATATGAAATATATTTATTAGTTTTTTTTGTAAATATATTTATCAATGAAATGCAGAAAATGTGCATAAAATTAATTATTCATTTAAATTATTTCTTTATCAATTTATTGAACAGTAGCCATTAAACAAACTTAGGTAATTATGGTGTTAACAGTAATTTCATCACCTAATTAGTTGTGTAAACACTGAGACCATCAATTAACAGTTGACATCACTATTAAATTAGTTGTATAAACATTGCACTTTAGCATCAATAGTTATTAATTAGTTGTTTATTGGACCATTGAAATATTTTTAGACAATGTTCAGCCAATTAAAACAAAAGTCATGGAAACAGAAACTCCTCCATAAGTTTTGGTTATAAATTATAACAAAAATAAAATAATATTGAATCAGATAATCATATTTGATATAAAATGTAAGCCTGTAAGGTTATCTACAGAATTTTTTACTTGTTGATATAAAAATGTACTTAATGCAAAGAAAATCACTTATTAATTATAATCATTAACATCTTTAGAGGACTGCAACTTTCATACAATTAAATCCGGTCATATATGATATCTTCACTCAATAAGAATAAATATCTGAAAAGATATTAGATCAAAGATCTCTCTTATAAAGTAAAAAAATAAAAAAATAAAACTTTAACAATTATGACATACAAACTTTCATTTTTTAGTAAAATTAAGGTCCATTTGAAGTATATCATACATATCAAAATAATTTTGGTATAAAATGGGAGTGAAATGTCTTCAAGACGTTTCACTCCCATTTGGGAGTGAAACGTCTTGGTGTGAACTGTCTTGGTGTGAACCGTCTCAATAGTGAAACGTCTGTCTACCGTAGATTATTAGATACCACAGGAACTTGGAATTCTATCAATATTAAAGATAATGTTCAAAATATACCCCAGATGTAAAAAACTATATTTTGGCATGTTATCATTACTATTGGGTATTTGATAGAATATCAAGTTCGATACCATAAAGCGATGGGACAAAACTTGTAAATTTGAAGTACTTGAAAGTCAAGTATTGTATTAAATTATATGAAATTAAATTGCCCAGGAGCAAAAAGCAGAAAAGATGAATTTGTCCAGAGTGCTTATAAATGAATAATATTTTGATGTTTTTAACTTACTAAATGGTCTACCTAAATAATAATGTGTTCAGTGCAGTATGACCAGTAATATGTCAATGTACATGTTCTGCAAAACCAAAACAGACAAAATTTATGATAGTTATACAGTAAAACATTGTAAACATTTGTTTCATTGAAGTACTCCATATGGTTGAAAATGCGCTTTAAGGTTTAAAAAGTGTATTTTTTGTTGTCAAAATCATGCCTTATATCTAGCAGTTTTTAGACGGTTTAGACAAGTGTATGCTTCAAAGGTGAGTGCATTTTATATGCATAGTATATGTATCAAATAATTAATATATAATCTTCAATTAAAATAAGTTTCTAAAACAATCAGATTATATAGATATACATAAATGTATGATGTTTCCTTTGTATTGATATTACAAGTATGTATTTGATAGTTATTGCATTTGAGTTAAGAAATTAAATGTATTTAAAGAAAATCTTTTGTTGATAAAAATGTATTTATTTGTTTTAATACACTAGTAATATTTAAAATGGAAAATTTGAAGAAAGGAAATTTTAAAAAAGGTAAGGAAGTTGTTGCAGAGAATTAATTAATTAGTTACTGTCGAAGTCCTATCTTTTTATTAAATGACTTTCCTTTACAGAAGTTAATGGACAATTGTTTTGGAGTTACTTGTGTTAACGTGCATCTGTTTTAAAGAGCCAATATTTTATATTTATTGTAAATTTCTTACATGAAGTTGTTTGTTGTAAGCCAAGATTGTTTGTTGTCATGTTTAGAATCAAGTTTTTGACCGCTTTTGTGAAAGTATAATCAGTCTTAAGTGTTCTTTTTTGTGACATTAATATAATTTTGTGTCCTATGCCTTTTTGTTTTGTTTTTGTATGGTCAAGATCTAGGTCAAGGTCACACTCGCCAAGACGAAGGAGATCTAGGTCTCGTTCAAGAGACAGAAGAAGGTCAAAGTCACCACAGAGAAGAAGGTAAATTAAAAAATAAGTTGTTCCAGTTTCAGGAAAACAACCGGATTTCTGTTTTAGCCTACGTTTATGTGTTAAATTGAGCTCTGTTAAATAAAGTGTTATTGCCAATTTGCCTGTGTTTCATGACCTGCCAGAATATGTTATATGGACTTTCCAAATTTCAAGCAGGGTTTAAAAGATTGCCCACAGTTAAAAAAAAATCCCCCCATAATTTTTTTAATGTACGCAGAGACACTTTATTTAGAGAAATATAAAGACATTGGCAACAATTTTCATGATTATTCCTGAATTTGAGGATTTTCAGATGCACATATAATTTTTTTAATGTACGCAGAGACACTTTATTTAGAGAAATATAAAGACATTGGCAACAATTTTCATGATTATTCCTGAATTTGAGGATTTTCAGATGCACAGATACAAATTTTATACAAAGTTAATAAAAAAAGGAACAAATTTCAGAAGTTATTTTCTATCTTTGAGACTTTTTAATATTGTATAATTCATATCAATATCAGATCCCCCGAAAGAAAGTATAGATCCCCTCCTAGACGAAAGTCACCATCACCAAGAAAAAGGTCAAGGTCACCTAAAAGGAGGTCAAGGTCTCCAAAAAGAAAGTCAAGGTCGCACAGTCCGAGAAGAAGGTCAAGGTCCCAAAGTCCTAGAAGAAAAGGTCATTCACCAAGACGATCACCATCTCCAGGTGAAAGAATCCATCCAGTGAAAAGACCAGCTGACTCTTCAGGGAAGAGATCGGGTTTCAGGTCCAGGACACCTAGTCCAAGTCCAGTTAAAAGGTAAGAGTCAGTGTACTACAGACCAGAATTTCACTTTGACCTTTCTTAAAAAAAAACTCAACTAACTTAAAATAATGTAAGACATAGAAATCATAATGGTAACTTTGTATTGTCTAATAAAGTTTGTATAACTTTAATAGGGATGTTGGAGCATTTGTGGCCCAGTGGTTAAGATGGCCGATTATGATATCAAAACTTGCCCCTCACCACTATGGGAAGGCACTAGATTCTTTATGTGAAGAAGTTATCCAGCTAGTCAGTGGTTCTACTGGGATATCCCTCTACCCCTTAAGCTGGAAAGTTAGCCAGTTACTTTCACATTTACCCTATTTTGTTTGTTTGGTTAGTTGATTTTAATGCCAGTTCTGAACATATTTTTTATTGTATCTCAGCGGTAGGTCCACTTGTGCTTTCTTGTTAACTCACTTGTAATTACCAATTTCTCTTCAAATTGACTTGCAAGAATCTACTAATCTCACTAGATTTAAGAATCAGCTGTGAGAGACAAATGACCATTAGACCATGTCCTAGACCAGTCGTTATGTAGAGAAATACCTTCTTGCCGGAAGATATAAGCAGCAACCTTTGGATTTATTATTTACAAGTTCTTAGATATGTGTATATACATGTAGATCTATGGATTTTGATTTCATTTTTGTGATTTTCAATCTCAGGTCAAGGGAAGAAAGATTATATGAAGATGAAGTTGTTTACCAGCAATCGCAACGATCGTCAAAACAAGCGCGATCTCCTGTTCATGAGTCGACATATAGCGGAAAAATGTACGCGGATCAGCCATCATCATCTAAAAAACCATTATTCCCATCAGGATCATCCAAAAGATCAGCTGAGATTGACTTTGTAACAATTGTAGAAAAGGGACCTAAGAGAGAAAAGTTAAACAAACGGTTCGAAACTCACGACCAGGTGGCACATGGAGGGTTCGATTTCGAGGAGAACATTACAATTGGGATTCATCGAGGGCCTCAACATATTGAATTGAATGATGACGATGATATTGAAGTGAATTATGATTTTAATCCAAAGACATTCAGAATGCTTTTCCCGAAGAAGGAAAGCTATGTGAAAGCTATTTTTGATCGCGATGAAATCAAAGCGTTCCATCATGATGATATTCTCGATGAAGAGGCATATGTTGAAAAACGAACAATTTCAATTAAACCGGTGGATAAACCAAAGTCACGAAAATACAATGAAGAGTTGGATTATAAGATTACTGTAGGGTCAAGCAGGGAAGGATATGGTGATAGACGTATGGTGCAAGACTCTGGTTCAAGACCGAGATCCTCGAGGTACATTACTTGCATAATTTACTCTCGTTTCAAAAGTAGCTTAAGCGTAGAAAAAGAGAAAGTTATTGTTGAATCTCTGACATTTTTCTGGCATTATGCAATCATGGAGTTTTCCCCATTTTTTATCTAAAATTATGTTAAATTGTCTTTTAAGAAAAATAAGGTTTGTTAAATGAGGTGCTTGTAGATTTATAATGTTGAAAAGAACAGATTCTTTCCAGGAGAAGTTGTAACTCTGTTGTTATCAGAAATACATGTCAATTTTTCATTTTAGGTCTAGTGCATATGATGATGTCCCAGTGACAGTAAGGTAAGTCTGTAACAATTTAATGGCATTGAAATGATAATTATGGGACTATAATATTTTTATTTCATTTTTCTCTGTGGACAGCTTTAGCCTTGGCAGTAAAATGTTGGTCCAATGGCCTTATGCTTTTATACTTCAGTGTATACCAGAATTTATTTCAATTCAAATTTGTAGGAAGCTATAAGCTTATGAGCACATTTTCAGATCCATTTCTAGAACCAACTAAGCAATGTGTGTAATTATTATTGCATAACTAGGAACCATGTAATTATTATTGCATAACTAGGAACCAATGACTTGACCCTGACGGGGATTAGAACCCACATGGCCAACAATCCCTAGATTACTACTTGTCCAGGGCATGTTAACCACTCAGCCATGCTACCACTTTTTAGCTTGACTGTTGGAAGAATAGGGAGAGCTATTGTATTCAACCATGTATTGATGTCACACTTTGATAAAAATTGTGTGCGAAAATTGGTATCTCCAAAACTATCGAAGGAAATGAGTTGAAACTTTACACACTTATTTGAGAGCATAGAAGGAGGTCTCTGTCTAGGGCCCTTAACTCTAACTTGCAATTTGACAGAATTTAGAAAATTCTACATTATACAGGATCTTGTTTTTCTGTCAACCACTGAGAATAGTCAAGCATGTTGTCCTACCAACAGCTCTTGTTATACTTTGACACAACATTACTCTGTATGGAAGTAATACACATTTTATTTGGCTTATAAAAGTATTATGATCTCAGATGACATTCAAGGTGAAAACTCGAATTTAAATAGTAATTTTGTTGTTCTTGTTTAATAAGGATTACAGACCTTAGTAAGCATGTATGGGAGCTGCCAAACTGATTTTTTCTCAAGTATTAAAATCACAGTAGAAAAATTCCTGTGTTGTATTGCAGATAGGTATTACAAACAAATTAAGAAGGCAAAGGTTGCTTTGTTTTGGTTTATTATTATGGTATTACTTAACTTTCGTTAAAATTTTTACCCCTTTAATCCTTGAAAAGATTCTATATGGGGATGAATACATCAATGAAATTTTACATTTATTGAATAGACTGGATCCCAAACCTGATCCGAGGTATGAGAAAATGTACCGAGATCAACAGAGATATGAGGACTTATCACTTATGCAGGAGAAGGTGCACCGAAACCCAAACGACCTGAGGTATAATCTAATGAGACGTAAAAGTGACGGGGATAGAGACGGGGGACGCGATGGTAGGGAGCGCCAAAGCGGACAGTCTTCAATGATGGACGCAAGGTGTGAGATTTGATCTATATGGGTTTTGTTGTTAGTTAGCGGTGTTCGTAATTTTATGTGTATTGAGTTAGTCAATTTGGAAAAAAAATTTAAGTCAATAGCTAAATTAAGAATCTTTAAAAAGGGAATGAAATTTTTTTCAGTGTCCATTTTGAGAAAATTTAAGCATTTTAGTCATTTGAATTTGTCTAATAAAGAACATTCACCAAGAAGAAGAAGAAAAATTATGGCAGTAAATAAGATTTCATGTAGAAAAAGAACATGATTTTTTCATTGTCTTCTTCCAACGAAGCTGTCCATTTGTCTTCAGTCCAATGTTGAATATAGCTTTTGAAATTGAGACAGATAGCTCAGCACTTATTAAGGTTTTCTGAATTAATTTTTTTTTATTTGATTGGTGTAATTTATCCTGTTTGCAAGTCTTAACTTTCACCACCAACAACCAAATTCACACAGAAATATTGTTACCAAATACTGGGTTTTTGTGTTTTATGTATTTTAAGCAGGATTATGGACCTTTGTTCATAAGTTTTATGTTCACCAAATAATATGTACAGCTTGTTACCAATGTAATTAATTTGGATTACAGGAGTCGAATCGAGGCACGTAGACAAGAAGGTGATCACTATGATAGGAGGGACCGCCGAACTTCCCATGATTCACCACCAAGACGTATAGGTAATTTAAAATGAATAAATGTCTCCTTTCATAAAATATTTAGTCATTATTCACTTGTAATTACAAGGCAAGGTGTATTATATAAGATCAAAGTTGGAACCTGTCATAATGTTGATAATTTGAAGATCCTGCCTTGTCCGCCAGCTTAGGTTAATAGGGAGAACATTGGATTTGTAAATCATGGCTAGCTGAGGGCGAGGCAATATTTCTCCGTGAAGATTGATCTCGATCATTTAGTTTAATGGTAATCAGACTCTTGCCACTCATTGAAAAATCATGTGCAATTAGTTGTTTGTCACTTGGTGGGACAAAAAAGCAGTGTTTAATGATTAATGAAAAAAAAGTAATTAATTAATAATCCTGATGATTAATGATTTATGATTATCCCGTGTCTGGAGACAATGGTAATAACTGGTTAGTTATCCAGGAATAGCCGATTTAGTAGGTCGGCCACCAAGATATTACCAAAAATTTATTGGAGCTAGTGTGATAACCTAACAACTAAAGGTACTTTGTTACAAATTGTGAAATACCACTTTGCTACATTCAGTTTTCAAACTTTTCAGAGCGCAAGAAAGCTACAGTAAAGACAGACCTGCCAGATTTCAAGAATAGACCAGGTAAATGAATTGGTCATGTGAAATGTGTACATATTGGGTCTTGGAAAAGTTTATGGGTATCATTTATGATTCCCGTATTGGTAGCTATGAAGCTGCATTAAAGGTTGTCACGTAAAGGTTGTCACGGTGAATGCGAATTTGATATATATGAAAAAGAGAGATTACAGGTTTAAGGATGATAAAGAGTAAAGCAGGTGATAGCAGCATTATCAAGTTGAAAACAAAAGGGTAAAATGCTGGTTGAAAAGAGAAAGAGTTCAAAGATTCAGGTATGATCTATAAAAGGTATATGCAGGGTGAGGAAAGTTTAAAGTTAATGGCTGATATATAAAGAGGAAGAAATAAAAAAGAAGTTGATAAGGAAAGCAGTATTAAAAGGGAGTAGGAAGACAGAAAATTTCAAAGGTGAGTTACAGGGAAATTTTTTTTCATTGCTTTCATGATAGTGCACAGTTTTAATTAAATAACAGATTTAAGTTGATAAAATTAATGGATTACAACTTAATGATAAATTTACTAGAATATTTAAGAATTTTTGTATGGTATAATTGCATATTGCAATAATTCCAAGTAAAAAAAGTAAGCCTCTTTTTACCATCTTGAAAATGATAAAAGATTTTCTGTAGTTTTTTTATATTTTGTTACTTAGTATTTAAAACTTTTCGGTTTTTTTTCATTGCCAATGGTTCAGTCCCTCCCCCTTCCCTTTCAACACAAATGGTTAAGTGGCAATGTAAAATCCTTTACCAATCAATAACTTGAGTAGGATTAGGTCAAAGTGACTTGGTAGGGGATAGTGCCCATCACAAGTAGATGTCCATTTTGATTTTGATGTCTTTAGGTTAAAGGTCAGGGTCACACTGAAACTTTTATAAAATTTTATCCAATCAATAACTTGAAGGTATAAGAAGTTGACCCCTTTTGAATTTTAAGTTGTTAGAATTAAAGGTCAAGGTCACAGTGACTAAATGTAAAACCTTTGTCTCGTGAAGAACTTGAGAAGTAAGCATTAGTTTGTGAAAATAAGTAGGGATATTGCCTATGTTAATTTGATGACTTTTGATATTTTTGAGGTCATTAGGTCAAGGTCACAGTGACATTTGATGGGAAATCCACGTCTTATCAATATTGATAATAACTCAGTTTTCTCAGTCATAGATTTGTGAATGTGAAATAGTTATCAGACTATTTATATATTAACACTTTAACTTTATGTAATATTCACTGTTAAAGGCTTATGAAATGGGAACGTCAGTGTCCTATGGACACATTTATATTTTATTTTCATAATAAAAATGTACCTAAAAATAGAAATGCTGAAGAAGTTGTAAACATTTTGTTGGCACTATTTTGATTGTAGTTGGTTGACAAACATTTAAACAGCTTGCGATATTAGGGACTATGGAGACAAAGGTTTTCTGTTTATAACAGATGTGAGAAAGCACAATTCATCATGTGGAAAGAAATAAAGGACATTTGCAAGTAAAACATGTACAAGCACACTGCACTATTAGCTGATCCCTCGGTTTCTTTGAGGAAGGAAAGATCTGTGAAGTTTCACCTGATATTTGAAACAATACAGTGTGAATGTAGAGGGACCAGCAGTTGCAGACTTAAATATATTATTTCAAGTAGAAGTAACATTTACAAGAGTATAGCAAAGGGATGTGATTGAAGGCGAAATGTTCCTGCTGCAAATGGCACTTCAAGACCAACATAAAAAAAGTTATGATCCGGGTTATTTGCATAGCCACCTACAATAGTAAATGCTAGATGCACTGCAACTAATGTTGGAAAAATTCAAGAAAAAGTAAACATTGGATGTGGGATGGCATGAAACATTTTAAAGAAAACTGCATATGTTTCATGTAAAACAGTATAATATATATCAAGAGAGAGCAGTCTGTAGTATATTGCAAGATAGTGCACTAAACGGCAGTGGACATATCAAGGAAGTAGCAGATTGAACAAGAATAGGAAATAGCAAATTGAACAAGAATAGGAAGTAGCAAATTGAACAAGAATAGGACATACATGTGTTTGAAAAAGAATGGCTTATCAACTAATGCAAACTACAAGATTATACACTGTACTGAAGTGATGTACACGGCAAATTATACAAATCTGCTGTTATAGCAGTCCTAAGAAATATTTGTATCAGATTAAGCTGCTTTATTTAGCAGTGTTTGACCTATAAATGATTTACAAGTGTTAGCAGCAGTTGACCTGTAAATGATTTTAGAAGTCTTGCAAGATCATAGGTCATTGTTTTGTATATTTAAATTAATGCAGTTATAGTAGAATTTTTTTATTTTGTCTGGAGAAAAGCATAGCGCACTGTCTGTTAAATGAGTGTATCAAAAAATTTTCTTAATGCTGAGCAAAATGTTTATGTGTCTGTTGTCTGTAGATATCTGGTTATATGTACAGGTTTACTTGGCAAGACATTTATCTTGTAAGGTATGTACTTGAGTGCTTGTTTTGAACAAGTGCACTTGAGAAGTCTGTTGCTATTACACGTCAGTTACTATGCTATGAAAAGTCAATTATTATGATATTAGAAGTCAGTTGCTATTAAAAGTCAGTAGCTGTGAGATATCAGTAGCTATGAGAAGTAGAGGCTCATATGAGAATCTAAGATATTTGAGACAGATTATGTTTGTTACTAAAATCAACTACATGTATATAGACATGTATATAGCCTAGAAGCTGCTGGAATAGCAGCCAGCTATTTCAAAGTTTTGTTACAATATAAAGTATATGCAAATTTGAGTTGACAGGGTGGATGTAGCAAGTAGAAGGAAATAACTGAGGTAATGTTTAACTTAAGAAAAAGAGTTGTATAAAATGTTTGTGTGATATTTAGAGATCTGTACACATTTTCTTATGAAATTAGACTACTTAATATGTCAGCCTTCCAGATAAGACTCTCTAGGGTCTTTCCAGGATGAGTGCTGGGCTAGTGGGTAACTTACCTTGTAACTCTGGGTTTGAATCGTCAGCTCTAGAAGGTTTCAGTCACACCAAATGTGAGGAAGTTGGCCATCTGGTTTGCAAGAGGTTGGTGGTTCTACTCCTCCTCGAGTTGTTGTGTGTAGCATTATGCAAAGAGTAGCACCTGAGGTTACCCTCCTTTGATTATAAGCTGTAATGTCACAATGCGACTTAAATGTCTGTTATAGGCAAAAAAAAAAAAGAATCATGACCTATAGCATATGTATATTGATTGTTAATTTGTACAGATTTTATTTTAGTTTGATTTGTGTAGAAACCTTTTAGCTGATAAACAAACTAAAATTAATTCCTGTAACCAACCAGTATTGAGCATTGAGTGCAAAATTTCTTACTTAAGGAAAAAACTGCTTACCCCTGAGGGGTCGAACCCACGCTGCTACCAATCATTTGTTTACTAGTTCAACACCTTAACCGCTCAGTCGTGCCATATGCTTATCATTTGTTGAGCTCACTAGTAGTTTACTAATTGCATGTACATAGTTTGAAATTTATGAGTACCTGCAAGATATGGAAACTGAAGATTCCAGTGTGCACTATTTTTCTTGCATCAAAATAAAGGTTGATGGTTCTACAATTCCTGTCTGAATTGAATTATCAGAACTTGAGGAGTTTCTTTGCCAACAAGTTAACAATGAAAAAACTGTCAAAAAACATTCTAGTATGAAAATCACATAAAGTGACTAATACATCATTTGTAAAGTAAACTTCTTTAAGTGTTGCCATAAAAATATGAAAGTAATAAATTTTCAGTTATTATAGTGTAAAAAGTTTGATTATTTATGTTTGATTATTTATGTTTTTCAGGTGTGAAGTTGGAAAAGCCAATCGTATGGGTAATTGGTTCATCCGTTGTGAAGGATCTGAAACAGTTTGGAGACATTTTTCCCGATTATGATATACAGACATTACTGAAGGAAGATGTGCTGTCTCTGATTACACACGGAGAAATGGATATGAAAATAGAGGACATTCTGCCAGCAGTAAAATACCTGCTTAAAAATAATGAACGTCCTCAAATGATAGTTTTCCAGTGTGGAGAGCTTAATGTTAACATTGGTCGCAATGTCGATGTTACGGAGGTTATGAAAAAAGACTTGGCCGCAGTTAAGGAACTGATTCCTGGTGTGGTATTGGTTTGGTCACAAATATTACCACCATGGATGATTAAGGACACCAGTGGTAGCACATTGTCTAAGTCCCGTAGGCGAATAAATACGTTTATGATGAATTGTTTTCTTTCAGAGGAAGTTGGTGGTTGCTTTTTGTATCATAATATGTTAAGGACTGATTTGAAAACAAAATACCATTTGCCAACAAGTGATGGCTTTTTGCATTTAAGAAAAGAAGGAATGCAGGCTTATATTTATGAATTGAAGACTGGTATCACATATTTAATGACAGGACAAGGTTGTATTTTCCCATATATAAAATGGCCTTTAAGTTTTGGTGAAATTTATGAATTTGATCCACAGCATATGTGCATGTTGAATGTGGAGCAAATTCAATCCCTTAATGCTAAGAAGCTCCAAAGATTCTCCAAAAAGCAAATTGAAATGCTCAGTAATGAGCAGATTTTGATGTTTCATAGAAATCAGCTTTCTTTTGTTTATCGTGAAGACTTTGTCGGAAAGCTATCTCCTAAACAGTTATCTGGCCTGTCCAAGACAAACTTTTTGTTCCTAACCAGCTCCCAAATGAGATTATTTACTGAAGTGGAGGAGAGAGTCATGTGGATGTCAGAAGAGGTGGTAAGTTTTGTGAAAAAGAGAATAAAAGCAAGAAAAGGTGATGCAAATAAGATGACTGAGCCAGACAAGGAAGAATCTAAGAAAGATGAGGAAAAGAAAGAACGTACATTGGGAGATTTAATTGGAAGTTCTGGTTCTGATGATGATGATGATTGGTTGTCTGTTTATTCTGGTGGTGATGATGATGATAATGATAATTCAAGTGTGAATAGTGAGAATGAGTGGTTGGTTGATAGT